TTTTGTTTTGTTTTTGTTTTTGTTTTGTTTTGTTTTGCAACATTGAACCGCCAGTAACTGAAATCACGGACTGATTCAGCGGATACAGGGACAAAGCTATGAAAAGTGTATTCAAGATTTGAATGTTAATACAAGTGTAGCCCTAAGATAAAACTACAGAATGCTGCTAACAGGAAAGGAGGAAAACTTATTTCATTCAACTGCCATGTGAGAGGACCTTATGGCTGGGACCTAGCATGGAAACCTCTCACATGCGGGATTTTATACACCTTTATAATTTTCGAAATTAAGATAGAATGTTATTTTTAATCTAAAATATAGTCTCCTTCATCTTCTGCTAGTTCTTGATAGTTACAATGTCATTTTGTTCCCAAACGGTTTGTAGGACATACTATACGAGCTGTAGAAGGTTTTCCAGGAAGAAATTCTTCTAGTGTGCAGTTTTCGGCTCAGAATTTCTGGAACCATTTTTCATTTTTATTGTCCCCTTCCCATATAATGCATTAATGCACTTATTAATGATTTTTTAATAAAACTTTTAAAGCAAAATATGCTCCTTTCTCACTTTCATTACAGCTTGAAAAATATAACTATTAAAATCAAACTATACACTTGAAAACTTGCACTAAGAATAATAATAAAGTAAGATTACTACCTGCTTTTATTGTAGGTTGATAGGTTAGTTTATCCCGTGCCTTTCCGACTTTTTACTGAATAGAAAAACTGTAATATTAATAAACTAAAACTCAGTGGCGCAAACAGCCCTAATGGGCCCAGTCCTGCAGTGCCCCGAAATCTGCTTTCTTGACCGTGGGCCCCGGGGTGCGTAAGCATATGCCCTGAACAGGTGGTCAGCTTGTCGCAGGACCCCCAGTGTTTAGTTCCCAAGCAAACTTGGTACTCATTTTATTGGCCCAAGGGATAGAAATCAAGGGATGAAAGGCTGAGTCGACCTTGCCCAGTCCGGGGTTTGAACCCCGGACCTGTGGTGCTGCTGCGCGATGCGCTAGCCACTGCGCCACTGGGCCTCGTAATATTAATGGAATGACCCAATATATGCAAGAGATTTGAAAAACAGTAACTGCAGATATTTATTTCCTTAAATATGGATTCTAAAAATTTACCTTAACTTTTGTTTCAGTTTCTCGAAATAAACTAGAGAAATAGTCCTAAGAGAGCAAAAATATGTCTTATAAATAATCTACTATAATGTTAAGGAGTTGTATAAGAAACGTTCCATAGTGCAAGTTCGTACCGAGTTTGCAGAAACATATGTAGCTAGTACTTTTATTGAACGAACTAAAATTTAATAAAGTGTTGTTTCACTCTATATGGAACTATCGTTTATCAAAATCAGCAAGCTTTGCTTTGAGTGTCTCAGACCAAAATTTGATCTAATCATGTTGAACTTTTATCTGTAGAAGTGATATAAGTCAGTAAATGTGTTAGGAATATCTTCGCGAATTATGGACTCACTAATTAGAAGCTTTCTGTGTTTAACTCCTTAAAGCGCAAAGAATATTGACAAATATGGGGATTTTGTTCTCCGAAAATTATATTTAAGGAAACCCCTTACTTGAAACTGGTTTCGCAAAGCTATGTTAACTTAATTTTGAGAAACCTTATTTTTGGTAATGTATGTGTAAAATAAAGTCTGCATGTAAATACATAATTACGAAATCTTTATCGTTATGTTAACAGATTTCTTTTAAATTCATCATATTTTCTCTTCTCCTTCAGACCTCCTTCTATGCATCAGGAAAGAGACAGAAAGAAAATGATTTTATGATAAATTCCGTTAAAAAATTTCTAAAATGACCTTGTTTAAATTATTGATTTCATTTTTAGACAATATGTGGCTTTAAAAGACTTTCAACTGCAAAATTTACTTAATTTTAATTTTTTTGGCTTGAAAGCGATATTTAAAATAGTTACATTGCTTTTTATTTTTCATTTCTTACTTCTTTGTACGAAGTAAAAAGGAAGTATTGTAATCGCGAAAAGCTTCAGGCAGCATATTTCAACGAAAATATCCATTTTGACCGCTATCGAATGCAATTTAAAAATGATTGTATTATGTTGTTTTTATCTTCCGTTTAAGGTTTTTATGCCTTTAATAAATCCGTGTGCAATATTTTTAGAATTATCAACATTTTTAAAGTTGTCTAAGTGCCACTAAGCCTTTTTTTAATGGCGGCCATTAATGTTTACATTTGAAACAGGAGACTAGTGGATTTGTTGCCAATCTAAGATAACGCATTCATTTATCATTGCCAATTAAATCATGCTTAATTCTCTCTGGAATTTTTTCGAGGAAATAAGTGTTTAAGATTTACTTCGTAATTTTTATTATAGATATTTTGAGTTTTATGTATTTTTGCCTTCTCGCGAAGTGAGAACTGAATTAATTAAATGAGAAATACGCAATCGTCTGTGAAAAACTGTTTCTTTTTTGTTTTGTTTGCTTAATTTCTTTTATACATCATTCTAGCTTTATTATAGTATTTGAATAGAACATGTGGCAACGATTAGATAATTCTATCCTTTAAATGATATAAATTTTGTGCATTATGAGTTATAATATGAATGAAATATATACGTTAACTGTTATATAATTATTGGATTATATAACAGTTAACTTAGTTTCCGTTATATAATTATTATATAAGTTAACTGTTATATAATTTTTAATACTAGTAAGTGAATCTAGCGCCAGGGTGTCGCTATGGTAAACAAATACTAGAGGGAATTTTAAAGAATGCATTTATTCTATTGTGGTTTATGCGCTGTCGTCCAAGTAGATTTAATTCAATCCAATAAGTTTAAATGAAATGCAAGAAAAATGCGTATAATTTAATATTCCAATACAAGGAAGTCATGTGTTGTACACATCAGATTTTTTATAAACGTGAAAGAAAGATTTTTTCCTAAAATGCGATATAATTTATATATAATGAAGTAAACAAAGTCCTAAGTCCTTGAATATAAGAGAATTTGTGTTGTAAGAGAAAAGAGAAAATATTTCTAGAAACTCGCGTCGTCTTCTTCACGCTTTCCTGGAACGAGACGCAGGTGTAAATCATTGCATTTTCCTGTGCATATATTCGATCCGGACGTTCCAAAGAATGTCTTTATACTTGTCATCACGAGATGGCGCTGCACAGAGCGAACTTCGGAGGCGACCATCATTTAGGTGTTTGCTGTCGGCGGCGGGAGAACAATTTTCAACTTCGTTTCGTACCGTCCGCGTGCTTTTCATCCAACTTCCTAGATACAGCATTTCTGCTTTGTCTACGAATGTCAGTTTTCAATATATTTTCTAAATTTTGAAGTTGTGAACGTTTAGTTACTTAACGGGGGGGACTATATATTTTACAATTTTTAAAGAGACTGTATCAAGCGTCGTGTATTACGATGCCCTGATCAAAATATGAAATATGTGGATAGTTTAAACTTCAGATCTTCGATCGCAAGGTCAATTAAAGAAATGTAAAGAAAGACAAGCTTCAGGAAAGGTATGTATGAATTGCATGAAAATGACTGAAATAGTTTTTGAACTCTTCTGGGAAAACAGCAGCCATATAGGAAAATATTTTCTGAAAATACAATGATTAGCAATTTTATCTGTGAGATATACATCCATAAATTGAAGAACCATGACTTCGCTTCCCATTTAATACTATTAACTACATCTTATCACAAGTACGTTTTGTTGCGTAATGACCGTTACAATGCATACAAAAGTCATCAAGAACAAGTAAATTTACACCGATTTGAAATTTGAATACAGTATTATATTATACACGTCAGAAATTTTTGCTCATATATTAACTCATCAAAATACTATAATTAACGTGTGATATTATTTATGTATATAATATCTAATATTAATCATTATTTATGTCAACATATCGACATCAAAGGAAATTTCATGCCATGTTCACGAGTAATATATTTTCGCATCGTATATTACTTGCGTAGCATTGAATCATCATATTTTTGACAAGTTTGTTTTTTAAAACCAGCTCATCGCTTTTTTTGGGAACTGAAAATTGTATCGTACATTTCTGAACTACGCTTTTGTTTAAAAGTCTGAAGGAAAGCTATTTTTCCCGATAGTATAATAATAAAATATATTTCACTTTATACAATCAAAAGTAAATAATTCAAGGAGCAAGTACTTTGAGATACAAATATCCAAACATAGAGCTTCTACTGGATCAAAATTGTGATTATTGTATCATATACTTTTCTTATAAGCGTAAAATTGTCGATAGCATTTATAACAGAATTTACAATGGAACGTGTTTTTGAGTTGTAAGTATTGCATTTACTGTGTTTTGATATCCACCCTATTAAAAATTTGAGATACAGCAATTCTTATGTATATCCATAAAAACTGCTTAAATTTGTACCTAAATAGATAATATAGGACGTGAAAACTAAATCTCAGTGATTAAGGTCTTAAAAATGTTACCTCGTTTATAAAACATTTCTACTTATTGCTTTCACCGTAAACTAAGAACAGCTATCATGACCTCATATATGTATCGCTAATTACTTCCAAAGGGGTTCAGGAGCCTCAGAATGTTGACAATAAGGATGCCACACACAGGAACAATCTTTTCTTTTTTATTAATTTTTATGTCAGCAACGGCTTATAGAACTAACCTATTTTATCAACAAACCATGCAAAAGGAGACAGCTGAAACCCACCGAAAAGATATATACCTGGGTGATTGTTGCATATCGGAAGATAATGGGATCTACCTTTTTTGCTATAGCCCACCTAATGATGATATAAAATCATGCCCTTTTCTGAAATGCAGTTTACATACCACAAAAGGATTCAAATATATAATAAAACAACATCAGTTATGTTGTTTCAACAATACAACAAAATCAAATCAAATCTTCATTTCAGATTTCTGTTTTTCTGATTGCCAGTCTTTAAAACAATCACTATGGAAGCAAGTATTACTCGAAAAGCATGTGAAAATTCCTTTTCATAATCTACTACCATATTATGGAAAAAGCGACAATTCGCTTCATTTTAAAATGCAAAATAAGAAAAACCCGCATTTTCTTAAGTTTCCTAAAGTGACATATTCTTCGCGTTTGATGTATTATAAATATCCATCGGAAAGCAATCTTATATCAAGAAGAAATAATTTCAGAAACCTCTTCACATCTTTCTATAAACGATGTGTTGAAAGCCATATGAAACATCTTGCTCGTATGTATAATTTTAATGTGCCAAAAAAACGTTTTTTATGGCATAAATATTTCGTATTTGCATGTAATATCTCCTGTTACTGGCAGTTTTATGAATGCATTTATAATGAAACAACTAAGGGTAAAACAAATATAGAAAATCATTTGAATATTGTCGACAGATGGTGTGCAAGTATGAAAAAGGGCTGCGAATTTGCCAACAGATTAAATCCAACAACTGTTGCTTCCAAGAATGAGAATCTTAATTCTGAAAACCCTGTTCTGAAACTTATTTTCAAACATCGGGCACAGGCTTCTTGGAGCTCTGTTAGAAGCAAAAGCAAACTGAGTTTACGTAAACTTTTGATGAAACTTAGCAACATATCAAATGAAGAAATCATCAAGGACACATCTCTTAATACAAAAATAAGCGTTCCTGCTACCCCCAATGTTTCTCGAATATTTTTACGCAATGCAAACCATCATATGATGAAACGACATGCTGAAATTATTCCAGAGGAATATTTTGAATCAAATATTTCCACAAGTACAGAAAATATTACTGATCTAGAGGCTACGAATGTCTCGGAAGTTTTCATATTACAAAACAAAACCAAGCATATGAATCCTTACAGACGGAGAGGGGAGGAAGGAATAATTTATATTCATGGACTTTTTGAAATGAGTGGAGGATCATGTAGAATTAACCCACAGACTGGACCGTTCGAATACAAAGCTGCCCAACTCGCCATCAAGCATATCAATGATAAGAAAATTATTGATGGATATCAGCTTAGGATGTATCACAACGACACTCAGGTAAGTCAATAATCATATTTTTTTATTCTTGTAAACATCTGTTACCTGATTGTATGAAAATCATAAATGATATTACTTTATTTAATTCCTTATTTATAAGCAAAATGTACCACAATTTTCTTATAATATTCCAAACAGGTATCGCAGTTTCAGATTCTAAGTATAGAAGTTAGAATCTGAAAGTATAGAAGTATCTGAATCTAAGTATCTAAATATAGAATTTATAAGTATTAAAAGAAAGTTAACCATAAGATAATTCTTTATTTATACAATTATATTTATATAAAATTTCAAATCCAGTTCTATAGATAACGTGATCTAGTAATTTACTTATTATTTTCTTTCAGAATTTTTTTTAATTTTTCTTCTTATGCGCTTCTTTTCTATTCTTCGCTGCTTATCTGATATTCTGCGATGTTGATTTTTTTTCATAGGTATTGCAAGAAACTAATAAGTTTGGAACAGTTTAGGTAAAGTTTATAAAATTTGAAAGTCAATCAGAAGTTCTCTCACAGTACTTAGTTATGCTATCTTGCTTTTATTATAATTGATTAAAACTGTAGATTTATTTTCTAATTATACAGCAAAAGTTAGACAGCTATTTGTTTTCATTTTATAAACACAAAGATGATGTTTACACTAATTTAGTTCGCTTATTTCAAAAACTGTGCATTTATTTAGAATTCAATTAAGTAGCAATAAAATCTCACTATAAGTAGAATACCATGTGACATTTATTGGCAAAAAAGCAGTATTTCTTGCTAATGCTAACGCAGCGTTTGCAGCATTTAACCGAAACAAAATAAGTACAACATGTCATATTAGATTTATTTTAGTAACAGTTCATAGCTTACGTTGAATCTGACTTAGTAATCAAATTGCTACTTGTAAATCAAATTCAACTCAGTCATACTGCACATACTGCACCGAATACGTTTCTGGTAGTTCCCATACTTAAATTAAAATTATTTAGTACTTATTATTTAAAATACTCTCTTTTTATAGAACTGAATGTCGAGGGAGTTGAATTTGTTTTAACATATCTTACGAAATTTATATTCTAATTAGTAACTCTTACTTACATGTTATAGTCTAATATTAGTGTAATGTGCAAAGCCGAAAAAACTGATAAGTTGATCTAGATTGGGTTTAAAATGATCGAAAACATCTGTTCTATATGCGATTCATGTAGTGATTTCTATTTGTGACATAAATGTAATTTAATTTCCCTTATAAAACCCTCAAAAAGGCTACTTCCTGAGCATTGATTCTGTATTTAAGACAGACTAATGTTTTCTGCTTTATATGCATTCTTGACGCAATTACTCATTTCTCATGTTTTCCAACTAAGATGTATACATGAGTCAACACTTAATGCAGGATCATTATTAAATATTCGCATAATTTAAATGCTCAACTTCTATCTTAGTTTTCCTTATTTATTACATCCATAGACACTGTAAAGTTCTTGTTTTTAGATCTGTTTTGCTTAAATTCTTTAATTTTGTTAATATTCAGCCTTCAATGGCGAATTATCGCCATCACAATCTGCTTAGATCTGAAGAAGCTCTTCAAATAAATATAATGACAAAAAATTACATTATCCGAGAAATTTATTAAATGTACTGCCACACGCAATTACTTCTCAAAACATAAATTCAGCTCCTCTTGGCAAATAGCAACTGATGTAACTAAGAAAAGTTGTGATAGAAAAGAAATTCCGTTACTCTCATCAATTCTTACCCAACGAGGAAATTACCAGAACTTACCTTTACGGATCAGTTGTGGATAATTTTTCGACTAGCCTACCCTGCTCTAAGTAATCGCAAGAGCTGCAAATTAGACCTCACAATGTGCAACTCCTTAATGAGAACCTAGTATTTAAGGTTAATATGTTTGTTCATGATTTAACTGAAATGAGCTGTGATTTTTTTTGCATAATAACATGTAACCTTGTTTGAAAGAACAGCCCAACATGTTTCTAGTATTTTGCCTTAGTTTCTTAACGGAGTTTAAAATGCATTGCCATAAAAAGTGAAATTTTTTTAAAGCCATTTCTTTGTTTCGCGTTGCTTCTAAGGAAGGTTTTTTTTTTATTTACGTTGTTTCTTTAGAGAAAGTTATTTTAAATATAGTATTAAATAAACTTAATGCTTATTTTGAATTCATTACGCAGCATCTGGTTAATATTAGAAATTATCAATTGTATATATAAACAGCAAAATACATTGCCTAGAAATTATGAAGTGATTTTCTCTTTCTGAATATTATTCATAAGTTTATATGTGTGAGTAAATATTCAGAATAAGAAAATATGAATGAAAGAAACTGCTTTATTTTTTAAGAAAATATAAATGAAAGAAATTACTTTACTTTTTTAAGAAAATATGAATGAAAGAAATTTCTTTATTTTTTAAACGTTATAATGATTGTTTTTATTTGAATGCGTGCCCTCTGCACATCTCTAAGTTAAAATTACTTTCTGTGAGTTTCATTTACTAAGAAGTTTAACTATTGCTGCATAACCAAGATAAAAATGAATATATATATATATGTTTGAAGAGAAAAGTATTCTTGCAATTAATCTGTTTTGAATATGTGGAGAATTATTTTATAATGATAAATATGAAATATTTCTGTAAACTCTTCGGAAAAAATGGCTGCAAGCTGTATTACGTAATGTAATAATTAAAGTCCTGGGCTTTTAATTACATTCTGCATAAGTTTATGTGTGTGTGTGTGTGTGATTATGGCAAAGCCTCGAGGGCTATCTGCCTAAGGGGAGGGATGCCTTCGTGGAGGACTTTCTAAGGGAAACTGGCTCGTATACACGTTACACATGGGGAAAACCACGAAAACGCCCATGCAGCCAGCCCTTTCGCGGGATTCGAACCTCGGACCGAACTACCAGTGTTCAGCGACTTTACCGCTCGGCCGCTGGTGGGCGCATAAGTTTATGAAAACTGCTTCAAAAATATGCGGGTGAAGATTATGTAAATATAATATTTTATTTAATGCCAGTACAACAAAATTTCAAACTAGCAAAATTAGCATTATGCTTCTTTTAGTTAAATACGAATATTTCCACACATACTCGTTCAAAAAAACTTAGATATATGCGTAATTATTAATTGATAGGACAGGTACACATTAATAATGAATGCCTTCGGGAATGTCTGCGGAATAGGAATATTTTTTCTATGTAGCAAAAAATTAAAATAAGATTACATTTTAAAAAGTATATTAATAATTTATAAAATACTTAATTTATGACTAAGGAAGAGATTAAAAAGTTTCAAAGTTATTATTTCTTAAAAGTGTAAACAAAGGACATTAGCATATAAAAAAATTATCTATTATTATACTTACTTTAAATATATTTTAAATTATACTTTTATATGATACCGGATCTTTTATTCTTCTCTTTGCGTTCTGTACTCGATTAGAGCATAAGCAACGAAGGAACTGGAGTTGGATCAAACAGGATCTGTTTTAGTGGAATGGTACAGGCAGGCTCTCTAGCAACATTGATGCTAGAAAATAGTGATACTTATCAAAATCTTACTGCAGTTATTTACAGGCTAACCTCAGTTAATTTTAAATCTGGCACCAGTTCTCTACATGTAAATTCCTTGCAGCTTTACCTCGTAACACTGAGGAGAGTGTACAGAAATATTGGCTAAATGTTTTCAGAAGTGATGCAGCTAGAATAAAATTATCAATCATAAAATATTGAAAAAAGATTATACAGAATTTCAAATAAAAATCACTGATACTGCTGGCAACTACATGTTTCTCTGAATTAATTTTATTTTACTGTGTAATCTTCAGAACTGGAAAGCATTAATTAATCTAATGTGATGATGATACTTTTAAACGTGTTAAAAAGTTTCCAAACAGCAGATTGAATCGATAAGTAGAGCCTAATGTAGAAGCTGAAATTAATAGATTTTACATATACATCATCTAATATTCAGATATTGGTACTTTAACACTCTACACTCATAGCTTCTTTTATTATATTTGAGAATTACATCTATAGCATTAACTGCAGTAGCTGCATGCATTTTTTACTTAATTTAGTTTTTGTAACCTTCCATGAATTCTTAACTTTCTACTTTACCGTTTCTTTGACGCAACATGCTTTGCCTTACAGCCCAATATAGAAACATTCAGCGAATCAAAACACATCTTAAAGGAAATATGCATCTTATCCCCCCCGGCTTTTAAAATTTGGCTAATAACCATTGCTTATGAAAATTTGCCACTCGCGAAATGGAAGCATATTTTTTTGCTAGAATACATTCTCACTTAGTAAATAAAATCATACATTAATAAACAAGAAATTAAGAAGACCTTTTTTCCCCTTCTGTTATCCGGAAACCCATTTTATTGGCAACTGCCCAGGAAGCTTGGATCCTAAAATATACGTATATTTTTGGGTAGATAAACGTATTACTCGTTTTTTCTCGAATAATATACATATGTTTGCAGAGCCATGCTGACTAGGTTAATTAAGGAAAAAAGTCAAAATCTTTGACCTCTTGTCTTTCTGCTTAGCGATTTATCATTGTTAATCCGTTAGATTCTCTTAGAAGCTCAGTGATTTTTGTCTGTAAACAGATTTGCTTTGGCAAGAAAATGTTCAGTTGAAAAGGTATTATGTATTTCAAGGCAGGTTTCCTCGAAAACGGAAAGAGATTTACTCTGTCATTTTTGCTTAAAATAAATATTACTGCTCTAATTTAGTTCACTCCGAAATATCTGAGCCCCACCCAACGAGGAAATGCTTTTGTTGTACAAACAAACGTAGCTAGCTATACATAAATAATTGATTACAGAACTCTCGCAATGTATTAGTGATGCCCGTAATAATTCCAGAAAACATGGATTTGGTAAACTGATCATTAAAATAATGTATTTTTATAATATTCATAGATCTTTCTTCCACTAATAAGTACATTAAATTTTGAAATATGTTAGTAGAAAATGAAGTTAAA